CGATTTCTCCATCCTCCAGCTCTGACCCATGACTCAGCCCAACTTTCCTTTGACTCCCTCAGCCTCTCCCCTGCTGCTCAGCCTCCCACTGCCCTAGCCCAGGTGTGTATGTTTACTGGGGGTGGGGGAGAGTACCTGGAAATAGTTGAACATGGCCTGTTTGACGAAGCCAATGTCATGAGGAGCTGCCTCCAGGTTGTCAATGGAATCAAACACTATTTTCACTGCTTGGTGTGCAATCCAGTAGGCTGTGGAGAACAGAGAAAGCTAGGAGATGGGGCAATCTCCCTGAGCTCATGAGGAAGAAAACCCAGACCCAAACAGGGTTAGTGATCAGCTTGTATATTACAGCAAATTAGGTGTCCCATTCCCAGCCTGAGGGCCTCCAATTAAACTGTATCTGACTGATCCACATAAGGGAAAACTGGAGGGGGAGACAGAACAGGTTGACACTGAGTCACACCTGCTGCTACCCAAAACTAAAGACAAGTTCAGTCAATTGTCACACAAATCACTGGATCACTGGTGGACTGGACCCCATGGACTTCTATGAAAATGCACATGTGCTGCCTATAAAGAGGTGACAGAGGGAGAAGCTTCTATACCCCTTTCCCATCAGCAGACTAGTACATCTCCTGGCCTCTACTGCCTTAACCTTCATAGTGTCGATTCCTCCCCAGAGCTCCAAAAGTCAACACAGGTAGTCAACAACTATTATGCCACGGCATGAACCTGAATCCTGGGTGCAAATCACTGCTGAAGAGCAAGGCCAGCCACTTGTCCAGCATTTGCATCTCTATGCTGTCTCAGTCATTATTTTGTACTCAGGACCATCAGATTCAGGAACTGTCCCCAGAAAGTCCCAGGGGTCAGCAGGCTGAGGGTGAGGGAGAAAAGGTGGAGAGCTGCACAAAGGGAAGGATCCAGGACCCTGAGCTGGGCCATCAGCATGAGCTCACCTGAGCCCTCGTCCCCCATCATGTGGCCCCAGCCACCACAGCCACTCTCGGAGCCATCAGGGTTGATGAGCCTGCAGTTGGAGCCTGTCCCAGAGATGAGCACGATCCCACCTAGGGAAAGGGCACAGGAGGCTCAGTGTGCTCTGCACAGAGTGAGCGCACAGCTTCCGACTGAGGGAGGACAGGACAGAAACCAACCCCAGCCAAGGAGTCACCACCCAGCCTTGCAGAAGAAATTGAGCCAGCTAGTTTACTGCTAAAGGTGGGGGGCCTGGCTCTCAGAGAAACTGATCATATACAGCCCTCCTCTGGGGGAAAGAGATGAATATGAGCCTGTGTCTCCTTTCCCAGCCAACCTGCAAGTGACTACATGCTTTACCTGCAAGTGAGTACCTACTATGTGCCAGGGATGGTGCTAGGCCCTATTCAGTGATACTCAATACCCTAAATCACCTTATCAATACAATTACCCCCACTTAATAGATGAGGAAATTGAAACTCTGAGAGTTCTGTAACTTATCCAAGGTGGTGCAGCTGGGAAAACAGGAACTGATTTTTAAATACCAATCTTGTGGCACCAATGCTTTTTACACTCCTATCAGCATTCCCTCACACTTACTTCTCAGCACTTACTGCCTTCCTCAGCCAGCCCCAGGACCTCTTTCCTTTAGGATGAAGCCTTAAGTCTGACTCCACTTCTTGCTTCTCATCAAGATACCCTCTTGCCCTCCCTCCTATCCACTCCTTACTCTGGCAGGGACTTAAGCTAATTAAAAGGGGGTGGGGAATGATAGAGGCTGACTTCCAGATATTTGCAAGACAAGTTCTGCCAGCTACATCTTAGGAGCTTTCCCAAGAAAAACGGTTCTCAACCTCACCCCTCCCTCCACCTCCTCACCATCTGGGGTAGCTGTGGCGATGGAGCCAGCGGCGTCGGTGGTAATTAAGTAGCTTTCACTCAGGTAGGGAAATTGGTCCCTCAGCTCCTCCATCAGGATCCTCACCGCGTCCTCCTGCTCCCCACCGCTCAGGGATAGGCCCTAGGCCAGCGGGGAGGTGAGCAAGCGAGCAGGGCCCCAGACCCAGCTCCTTTCTCCACCCCCACCCCTCCTGCTATCTGTCCCCTGCTCTCTATCTGGGCCCTGTTTATCCAGCCTCAGTCCTCCTTTCACCCCACGTGATGACCCCTCGGAAGGTTGTGGCTGTAAGAAGAACCTGGGCTGGAAATAGACAGAGAGGAGTTTCAACAATGCCAAGTTTGGAGCTTAGGACAACATTAGTGTCATTAACAGAAAAATCAGGCAGAGGAGCAAGTTGAGGAGAGAGAAGATTGGCCTGGAATACGTGGAGTTTGTCTGTGCCTGCAGAACATCTCACTGAGGACATGTCCAGGAAGTAGCCAAAGCTACAGCAACTTGGAAGAAAGGCCTGCGGTGGAAATAACTGTGGATATTTAATGCGTGCTTATGGGTCAGGGTCTCTGCCAGCCACTTCGGGAGGTGTCATGACATTTTACTTTCCCAACAACTCTGAGGTAGCTACTACTGTCTGCACTTTCCAAATGAGGAAACTGAGGTTGAGAGAAGGTAAGTAACCTGCTTAGGGTCATCCAGATGTTGAATGACAAATCAAGATCTCAGTGACTCTCCAAAGCCCTGTGCTGTTCCAATTGCTGTGACTTCTAGATGACAACTGAAGCCACAAGAACAAATGGATCATGTGAGTTTCTAGACCACAGCCCAAGCCCCCAAGGTCTTTCCCTCTGCAGTGGAGGTCATCAGACTCATTTAGTTCAAACTTGCTTTCTCAGTGTTGCTGTAATTTAATTCCCAGTCTCTACCCCAGACTCACCAAGCTTCGCAGAGGTACCAGAGGATCAACCCCAGCTTTCCGTTTGGCCCTGTTCACCATCTCGTTGATCCTCTCCACACACTTGTCTGTCCCGATCAGCTAGCCCCAATCAAGGGAAGGAGGAGTTACAAAGGCCTGCACAAACTCTGCTGCCCCTATAGGCTGCTATGGGTCCCCAGCCACCACCTCCACAGGAATTACAAGGCATAAAACCACAACCCAGCCCACTGGTCCCTTCATTGTGGCTTTTACCCAATGGTTTGTACTGAGTCCATCCGCTTCTGCCAGGATCTGCCCATCCTCTGAGAGTAAAAGGACCTTGGACCGTGTTCCTCCCCTACAGAACACAAGGGGGCACTCAGTCTTGCTCAGAAAAACCTGAAGGGAGAGCTAAGCTTGTGCAATCCCTGTCACAGAGCCCAGTATGACAGAGACTGTGTCAGCAAACCCAGTCACCATTCCCAAATGCACCTCTGTGGTTAGGTGTTTGCTGTGCTGCTGGACAGCCTCCCTTGGGGATGTCCTACTTATCCTGCAAGGCCCCACTTACACATCAGCTAATCCTTGGAGCCTCTCATGTGTGGCCCAACCACATAGCAGCACTACCCCCATAACTGTTAAGGATTCCTCTGTATTAACAGTGTATCCAGTTGTTTTCCTTTCTGCAAGCTCCACATCATCCATACATCTCATGCCTAGCACAGACTCCTCTCAGTAAATGTGATTAAAAACAATGGCGTCTCTCTGTGCTTCTCACAAAAGCTAAAGGCTGCCTTTTAAGATCCAGCTCCAGCTGCCAAGGTCTCCAAGACACTCTTGTGAAACACTGACCAGATGGCAGGGAAAGTTTATATCCACTTAAGCAACTAATGGTCAAGTGCTTATTACTGGGGAAAACAATAGTTTGGAGGGAGGTCTGTGGTGGTGTGACGTATGTGTCTTTACTGATCAGTACTTTCAGTAATAATCAGAAAAGGACACTGAAGACCTGACGATCAAACTGAAAAAATGACAAGTTTCAAGAGGTAGTTAATGCATGAGATTCAACACCAAAAAGTACCTCTTACACATATAACAGGAATGAATGCAAACTCCTGTACTTATTTTTTTCCCTAGGGCAGTAAAAAAAAAAAAAAAGATAGGGGAGATCAACCTTAACAATGCATGTGAAAAAAGACGTTGGGGTCCGTGAGTCAGCAGTGAGATGTGGCTGCCATAGAAGTAATCCAATCTCAGACTCAAAAGTGCCCTGGCTGAGATAGCAGCAACTTCTAATATGCCCTGATTTGGCACACCCATATTCACAGAATGTTGTCACTGGCAGGGGACTTGGCGATCATCTCCGTCATCTTTCCTCTCACTCTATACACATGTGGTAACTGAAGGCTATGCTGAGCAAAAGTCCTATATTCATACCGAGGGGAAGCTATTACAAAAAGTCCAGTAGACAAGCTCTGAGCAGGAAAAACGCAAGAATTCCTTGGGTTCTGTCTAGGGTGAGAAGCCTGGAGTGCTGAGAAGAGTGTTTCAGGGATCAGAAAAGGCTCTAAGCTGCTCCAGCTCCCAGACACCCTCCCGCAAAGGTCTTAGTCCTGGCTTCCACCACACTCCCTTTCCCTTCCCTCCAGTCCAGCAACTTCACACCTGACACCTGTTCTGTAAAATTCTCTGGGGTCGGGAATGGGGGGGGGGAGCATCTCCAGCGGGGGACAGAGGAGTGGGTCGTTCTAGGGGAAAAGGGGCGTGGCTCCGCCGTGAAACACAAAGGACCCCCCTGGGGTGTAGCCGTGGCACTAGCAGAGCCCCTGAAAGGCATACAACCGCGCGCGCAGAAGCACCGTGCGCGTGCACAGAACCCTGCTCCGCAAGGCCCCGCGCCCCAAAAGCCCAAAGTGGCCGGACTCAGAGACGGGAGGCCACCAGCCTGCCTACGGCCTTCTTTCCTCCCGCCCTCGGAGGGGGTTAAGCCCAAGCCACTTCCAGGACGCCCTTCCCGGACTCCCTCCGCCGGGCCGCACTCACCCCTCTACACCCCCGTAGAGCGCGGCCATTCTGATGCTACCGCTGCTGCAGATACCGCCGTAAACTCCCCTCCCGCTGGCCTTTACCTCCCTCCCGCCCTACCACTCGGCACCGCCCCACATCACGTGAACGCTGGGGAGGGCCGCTGACTCCCAGTGCGCGCGCGCTAAGGGCGTGGCCCAGGGAGCTGCCGAGTGCCTCAGTTAACACTGCTAGGGTGGGTCTCTCGGGGCGGGCCACGGCACCCATCAGCTGCTCCTCTGAACCCCACCACCTGTTCCTAGAGACGGACACCAGAGCCCACGCGGATGTGCCAGAAACTGGTGTCTGGGATGGACTCGCCGGACGCACCACTGTTCTGCCCGCCCCTTAGCACCCGGAAGTTTCTAGCAGCTTGACCTCGCGCATGCGCACTGCTTTTGAGCCGCGTGGAACGTTGGTGACACGCAGGTACCCCTCTACCTTATGTGCGTACCTAAGCCAGGGGCGTCGCAGGGCCTCAAAAAAAGTATAATCTTCAAAAATACCCGTCTGGCGGTGGCAAAAGTTACACATGCACACAGACTTTACGCTGCACTTGCAGCTTGACCAGGAGTATGTAGAAGTGGGCTGGAGAAAGAGAAAAGCCCTGGAGACTGCCCTGTCCTTGGCCCAGACAAGTGGGATTTAGCTTTTACTACCCGCCGGGTTTAGTTCCTTGGTTGGAGGGGCAGGGAGGGGAGAAAGTGAGGAAAAGAGTGAAAATAGGGGATATATAAAATAGAGTCATTTTAATCAAGCTGCTAAAATTAATATTACGAAGGTTGAGGTATAAGAAAAGAGTTCGTCCTAATTCTAACTCCCTTGGGAACTTAGTTTTTCAATGTTGCAGTCCTGCCTCAATGCCTGATTATATATCTGGACTTCCAGGTAGCCCTCTAATTACCTCGTGAAGGACTCGCATATATATCCACCGGACATCTGTTATCCAGACCGCTGGGCGTGACCAGACCTCCTGACATTCATCTTCTGGACCACCTGGCATCTGTCAGTCTGTTTGCGTGACATCTGCCTGATAACTGTCCTGGACCAATCCTAGGGGGAAGAATGCAGGACTGATAATTCTCAAGAATATATTTTTTTACTATTAGAACTTTTGACTTTTCTTCTTTGAAACGCTTCTGGGATTTTGCCTAGCTGTGTTCCTGGTTTGCAAACTCCAAGACCTTTGAATAAATCTGTATAATTTATTTCTAGCAAATCCGCCAGGCTTTTTTTGAGTTGGTTTGACAAGGTATTTGTGGAAATTAGCAAATACAGCTTTACAAGCCTTTTGCCCTCCAGCCACCACTTGGCCAAGGGGGAAAAAACTAGCCAGGTCTGAAAGTCAAGTTAGGGCTTCTGCTCCTAGTTCTGGGCTGGTAAGAGGCAGCTTCACCGGTCAGGAAGGTGGTCCGCTGCCCTTGACATCCCTTTGGAAACATTGGCCTTTGCAGGGCAGTTCTCAAGCTGGCCTGTCCCCCACTCTGTCCCCATACCCCTGTGTGCCTGCTGTCTTCTTATGGAGAGACCCTGCGCTAGCAATCCCTTTTCCTGATAGCCATCTGGGTCTAGTTATGCTTTGGTGTAAACATTTGTCGTGTATATGCTTTTTAACTAGAATGGAGGAGTCTTTGCTTCACTTCTCACTTATTTGGAATGCTGAAACACTACAGTGTCACCCCCAAGAGTAATTAAAAAGTTAAGTCACTATATTATAGAGAATATCAGAGAGAGGAGTAGGATTTTTTTGTGCCCAATTACATCATTTACATCCATTGCACATCAGAGCTGAAGGTGCTTGATCCAGCATACACATATTTTTAGAATAATGTTGCTAACAGATTATGGTGGCATTAAACTGGGCATGATTTTTTAAGGAAGGGGATTGTAGGTGGGTTTTGAAAGAACTGTGCCTTTTCAGACACTAGTGCAATGAGTCTTGAGACATGGATGTATGGTAACATTCAAGTTTCCCTTTGTGTTGCTTGTTTAGAAAAGGAAGCCAAGGAGAAAGTGTCAAGTATGAAGACAAGGATTGAGTTTGCCATCTACTAACTGATTACCTTGGGTGCCTTGCACATTATTACTGCTGCATCTGCTCATCTACCAAGTGGAGATGATAAACATCTGCCTACTCAGGCCAAGGTGGGATTTAAATATCAAAAGTTTTGGAAACTCCAAAGATCTTAAGTACTCCAAAGATCTTACATTTTTATATATATATTATTAATTAGTGTATGCTGTCCAACACGGCAGCCACGTGTGACTACCAAGCACCTGAAATGTGGCTAGCCCGAATGAGACATACTGTGTATGTAAAATACACACAGGATTTCAAAGATGTAGCACAAAACAATATAAAAATCGTACCAATTATTTTATGTGAATTACATATTGAAATTATAATATTCTGGAGATAGTGGGTTAAATTATATGTTATTAAAATTAATTTTTCCAGGCTGTTTTTATTTAAGTATGGGTATAGAGAATTTTAGATTATACATGTGATGCCAATTTGTGGCTCACGTGTGTCTGTTGTACAGTAGTGGTCTATGCCTTGTCTCCTGTCCATCCAGACCAGAATATTTTACAGTCCCCAAGTGCCTGCTGATATGAAATTAGTAATGGCATACAACTGCTTTAAAGAAGAGATGAAACTGGGTAAAAGATGAATAATAATACAATGTTATACATTATACTTTTATGTACTTACATCTCATTTGATCATTCTAACAACACTATGAGAATGACAGAGATTTCTAACTACATATTACAAGTGAGGAAACTAAAGCTCTGAAATCAAAGTAATTAGCCAAGGATCACACAGAGAGTAGTTGTCACTGATTATGGGTATGAGTAGCACTGTAATGGGAAGGAAATAAAGATACTGTCACGCAGACTAGTGCTAACCTCTATACAACTTTGTAAGTGTTTAATGCGCTCTTTGTGCTGGGCTTGCAACATCCCAGCAGCTGCTCCCGTGATGCTCACAAGATTAGTAAAGCCCCCGAAGAATCTGAAAGTGAAAGTCTTGTTCTCTGTCTTCTCTGCTTTGTCCCCATGACTCCAGGGAGGCCATCTTTCCATGGGAGTAGGGGAGTGGGTAAGAGGGACAATGGAAAAACCCTTTCCTTCCAAATCCACTTGTGTTTTTGGAGTACAGGACTTCAACGGGTTATGTAGACTTGGTTCATAAAAGCACGACCACATCTGTTTTTACTCACTGCTTGTATTTCCAGGGCTAACCTTGGTACGGGGCACATGATAGGAGGTCCACAAATAATTTTGAGAGTGCTCATAAACTATAAAGCACTGTACCACAACTCTAAGAGGTAGTAAATGCCCCACTGTGAACTAAAGAAGACAGCTAGCAGACTCTATAGCAGAGATGATTTGCAGACCAGACTGGGGAGAAAAAGATGTTTGAAGAAAAGAGAATTGAAAATTAAACTGGGGAAGCAGGAATTGGACAAGTAGCCAGGGAACCTCAAACTGATCCAGCCCTACTTTGTCCCGCATGGGGAAGTTGCCAGTACATGTATGACCTCAGTGCCGTGCTTTAGGATAATTAATCTGGCACGTTTATTATAGCAAGACAAATGGGAGGGAAGTGCCTGGAACAGGGAGACATTTAGAAGGCTGGGGCAATGGTCCAGGAAAGAAAGAAATAAGGAAGTAATAAGGGACAGGGAAGAGCAGAAGTCACGGGGAGGGAGCCAACTGGCAGGTCACATTGACCTCTCGCTCTGTCGATCAGAGATGAGGGCAGAGAGAGGCAGTAGTTGGCTTTCCCACAGTGAAAGAGAGGAGTGAGGGGCTGCCTTACTGAGAAGGGTGGAGTGGGTTTCTGGGGCTGGTAGTTGCAAGGGAAGGGACAGGCTCTCCCAGACCTGCAGGACTGCCAGGAGTAACAGAGAAAGGCCACAGGGACCCCGGAGTCTAGAAGCAGATAGAGATCACTGACTGTCAACAGTCTGCCCCTCAAGTCTCCCGTGCCTTGAGCCAAAGTGGCTCTGAAAGGTGTGCAGCCTTAGGCCAGCAAACCCAGAAAATCAGGTTGGTTTATTTCCTCTTCCTGAGTGTGTGTCTATGTGTGCACTTATTGATAGATGTGTGTTTTGGCTTGTGTCAACTTACATATAGATGTACGTGTAAGTAACTAAGTGTGTGCACAGGTGTATGTATATGAAATTATATCTTTGTGCATTTTTCTGTACTTGTGTATGTACAGAATTAGAGTTAGAATTTCAATTCTGGGCACGTTTGAGCAGATGCACAGATGTATAAATGTCACTGTGCAGCACTGTGCCAGAGCTGGCTGGCATTAGCTCCCATTTGTCCACATCCTTTTAACTTCTGTTTGGTGATACCATGTTGGTAGCTGGAAACTGCCATGGTTGGGAGTATTTCCAACACAGAGATTATCAGCTGCTACAAAATCAGCTTGCTAACTGTTTTTGCAGAAAGCTGCCTGGTAAACACACACCAGCACACACTGGATAGATGTTGTGCGGATTCTAGAAGGTCCAAGGTCGGTGTCTGTCCATGTGAAGTACAGTATGGAAGCGGGTACCATGTAGTAAGTCCAGTTTTTACAGACTACAAGCTCAGGCTGCAAAAATGCAATGATTTTCTTACAACTAAACTGAATTTCTGTCTCAATCCCCCACTCCTGATCTAACCACTTATAGGTGAACTCAGTCTTTTCAGGGTTCCACTTCAATTGAACACATCCTTCTCTTGGCCTCCAGGTTTGCGTCTGAGGGCTGGGGTTAAGCAGTGCTGCAGCAGTGGGGAGGCACAGCTTCGGGCAATTGCTGTTTTCCCTTCAGGGCCTTGGCTTGTCTGCTTCCAGTCTCCTGACATCTGTTGAGAGACCCTAGGCCCTATAAAACCTCCAGTGGCTCAGTCCACACTGCTGTTGGGGGAGCCTGTACCCTTGTCAAGTATCAGGGGTGGGAGAGTTACAGTTATATTTCCTTCCTTGCAGTTCCTGGACTTACCTTCTAGGCTGTCGTCTCCGGGAATCTGAAAAAAAGGAAGAGCGTCATGTCAACTAACTATGTAACACCCTATAAGATAAACTCTATGCCAATTTTATTTATTTTTTTTCATCAACTATCAAAAGCTACATTTTAAAAATGTGGAACGCTTCACAAATTTGCATGTCATCCTTGGGCAGGGGCCATGCTAATCTTCTCTGTATTGTTCCAATTTTAGTATATGTGCTGCCGAAGTGAGCACCTACGCCAATTCTATAAAGGCCAAACTCCCAGGGGTCAGGGGCCTCAGAGAGGGCCATGCTGGGGTTTGAACCCAGTTCTCTTTGACTAAAGCCTTTTTACTCTTCCAGAACACCTCAAGTCTCTGGGGATTATGGGCACTTGGCACATGCTTTTGGTCATGTTGGGCTAGGCTACTGGTGCTCAAATAATCTTAGAATTCCCAATTCTACCACCTGTCATCTCTTCCAACACTGTGGTATGGCAGGAGACTCAGATCCTGTGTGTGTGGAGGGAGGGCGGTGAGGCCGAGCCTCCCCTGAGAAGTCCGTGGCATCGAAGCCAGCAGGCTGCATGTCACAGACTTCTGCTGCCAGGCACGTCCCATCCTATATCACAGTTGTTCTCTGCAGCCTAGCCAGAGCCCCAGACGGACAACTTCCCGAGCGGCCAATATTCTACGTCTCAGGAGAGAGAGGCAAAGGACTCGGGGTAGGGTGGGTCATGCAGACGAGACCGGAGGTCAGCTGCTTCCAGAACAGGCCTCCACTGGAAGTGGTCCTGAGAAGTCCCCCGTGGGTGGGGTTGGGGTGGGAGTCGGGGTGGAGGTGGGGTGGAGGTGAGGCGACAGAGGTGTGGAGGGGGAGCCTCATCTCGCTCAGACTCCTGTCTTGCCCATTAGCAAATGTGGGAAACCCAGAGCCCCCCTTATATAAAATTCTATTCCTTTTCTAAAAACAAATTGTAGTTTTTATTGAGACAACCGTAGATTCACATGCAGTTGTAAGAAGTGCTGCAGAAAAATCCCATTTCCCCCAATATCATAACTCGGATATCGACCCAGACACAGTCCGTCAGTCTTGCCAGTTTCCCCCCATTTCACCCGTTCCTGTTTTCACGTGTGTGTGTGTGTGTCTGTGTGCGCACTCGTGCGAGTTTGGTCCGGTCCAGGTTGATCGTATGTGCAGGTTTGGCATCCACCGCCTCAGTCATGACACACAGCATCCCTACCCACACAGACGCTCAGCCGCCCTGGCTTCCCCACACTCCCTCCCCCGCCCCACCCCACCTGACCCCTGGCAACCGCTAAGTTGTTCTCCATTCACAATATTTTGTCAGTTCAAGAGTGTGATATGAATGGAAACATATAGCATGCATCCTTTTTTTCAGCAGCATAATTCCCTGGAGTATCATCAAAATTGTGGCATGTCTCAACAGTCTCTTTTCATTGCTGAGTAGTATTCCATGGTGTGACTATAGTGTATTCTTTCTAGTAAAATATTTCACACTACAAAAATCTATGTCATGTACATAAAGGTTATGATATTGTGGCTCCTTCTTTCCCAGTCCTGGAGACTCACAGGAAAAACTGAGAAGTAAGAAGAAACTCGGGCCCTGGCTAGGTTGCTGAGTTGGTTGGAGAGTCCCCCCCGTGCACCCAAAGGTTTTGGGTTCGATCCCTGGGTGGAGCATGTATGGGAGACAACTGATAGATGTTTCTCTCTCTCACTCTCTGTCTCTCTCTATCTCTCTGTCTCCCTTCTCCCCACTTCCTCTTTCTTCAAAATCAATACCCATATCCTTGGATGAGGATTTAAAAAAAAAAAAAGAAACTCCGTGGCACCTACCTTTGAGTCCTTGCAGATCAGTATCCTTTCACAGGCCTGGAGGGACTGTCTGCTTGGAAAGGGGCTGATGAGAATCCAGCCTCCTGGCCCTGGGGAGTGAGAACCTTAGGAAGGCGAGAGGAGGTAATTGTGTCCTCTAGCAGACAAGTGCCTGCCTAGACCGGGGCTTCTCTTTATGCTCAGACCTCTGGTGGGAGAGATTGGAGCAGATGGCTGCTACCAGGGCCTGGGCAGAGACCCCTCTCAGAGCAAGTCACCACCTATTCCAGCACCAGCTGCAACCCAGGGAAGGGACAAGTACAAGGGCAGTTCCAGAATCACACTGATCTCTGCCAGGAGGGCTCCTGAACATGGTGGGGTTTCAGGACAGACACCTCTGGGGCTTTCTCTGTTGGAGCTGAGCCTGCCTAAGACTAAGTGTCTGCCTTTAGGCATATGGTAAGCAGCCTAAGCATTGCACTGGGTCAGGGCCTCTGGGGGGAGGTCATGCTGAAAGAAGGGACAGTTCCTGGAGCCTGGGGAAGGGAGGGAAGTAAGAAAAGCAGAAGCTGGAAAATTTGCTCCCGAGCAGGCAGCTGTTCCCACTGGCTCCGCCACTTTCTACCAAGTACCAAAAAGACTCCCCAACCTCCTGAGCTCCCTGCTCCCAGAATCCTGAGGGTTTGCAGCACAACTTACCCATTCTAGCAGCCCCTCACCTCCTTTCCTAGAGCATTCTAGCAGCCTCTCTCTGTGTGAGAGAGAGCACCTGCTCCCACTGAACCTGACCCTCTCAGGACCCCCCCAGAGGATGGGCCCCTCATCTGAAACCCGGGAGTGGGGAGGTGGGAGAGAGGGGCTGGGAGCAGCACCCAGTGCACCAGCTTCTGAGCATCTCCATGTGCCCAGCCCGGGGTTCGGCCAGGCTGGGGGTGGGCGCACATGGGTCTCACTGACTGGCTGGCTGGGTGGCAAGCTGCTAACTCCTGAAGAGTTCAGTAAGAAGCCCAGGAGTCATGAGGAGGCAGTAAATGAGCACAATGAGGACAGGACTCTGGGTGCAAATGGGAAATCAGAGAAGACAAGGGTTACAATGGGCTGGAGCACTCAGGTAGGCTTCCTGGAGGAGAGATGCTGAGTGGGTCTTGAAAGACTGGTGGGAACTGGATGGGCAGAGAGAGAAGAGGCAGAAAGAGCCCTGTGAGTGAGGCCAGGGTTAGGGGAGGAGGGTGTGTGCAGGGCAGGGGCCAGATGAACAGGGTTCTTTAGGGTTCTGGAGCCACGACTCAGAGTGTCTCGTGTGGAGGAGGGGGGTTGAGCCAGGCAGCTTTCCTTTTATTCTCTACCTGCTCAGAAGACCTGGCCAGTGTGACCTGCAGGGCAGGAGATGGGGCAGCAGGGCTGGCCGGGAGCTTAATCAGTTAAAGCAGCCCCCGTGTAGGGTGCCCCATAGGTCTAAGGCCTCCTCAGCACCCGTCCCTGCTGCTTCAGTCCCTGCTAGGAAGTAACAAGACCCGTGATGGGGTTCACTCTGACTGAAGGAGATCCTGGGATGTAGGCACTTCAGTTGTAAAAAACGGGATGAGCTGGTCACCATATGGAAGAGTCACTTCTGGCGAAGGGCCCTGGCGCACGTACGAGGGAGTCACCGAAATGATCTGTGACAAATTATACGACACGGTGTTTTCAGGAGAAGAGATGGTCAGTTTCAGTTCCATAACATTGTCTTCCGATAATTCAGGAGAGCAGGATTTACAGTGATGGCAATGACCAAACAAAGCACTGCCTACAGGTCGATGCAGCAGTTTTCCACAGGGCGTTCCCCCAGAAGACTTTAATTGGCACTTCAGAACAAAGGGATCTTTGGGGACACTGAGTCAGTCCTCCACAGTCCACGCTGTCCCGCCCTCATCTGGGAAGTCCCGCTGCCCATCCTCACAAAAGCCCCACAGGAGAGCAGCCTGTCTCCTCCAGTGGGCTGGCACAGTGAGCAAGGCTGTTTGCACAGAGAGAGTCTGTCTCTCAAGAGATACTCAGTCCCCAGCAGACCTCCCCACCAACTGGCTCCCCTCCCCCTGCCCAGCACACAGAGTGCAAATTCTCTCTGAAATCCCATTTAGAAAACTTTGGAAGAGAATGTAGATCTACAGGATCACCCACCCTATTATCCCGAATACCCGGTACTAACTCAATGATCCCCTGGGCAGATTTAAGGATAACCCCGCTGGAAGTGCAACTTCTATTTTTGTTCAATTTCTCTCTTTTCTTTCTTTCTTTTTTCAATAATCCACTGGCTTTTAAGTGCTGGACTTCCCAACTTTCCAAGATACCTCACTCTAAGGCCTCAGGCCTGAAGGCTTTGTTCCCCTCTGGGCTGGAACCACCAGCAGCCAGGGACCTTTTTGTGGACCGAGGTCATCTCAGCTGGAGGCCCTCCCACTGGGGACGGTGGCGCTGGCACTCCCTGCTCCCTCCTACCTCCTTTCCTAGAGCAGCCAGAACCCTCCCCCAGATTCTGAGTCACCAAGACCTTGGCCTGCTCAGCCTTTTCTGGCCTTGAAGAAGAAAGAACAAGGTAGCTTTCAGCTCTCCAGACCCACAGCGGGTGCCAGACCAGGCCTGGGGATGTGGCCCAGAGCATCCTGCCTCTCTCTGAATGGTGGAATATATCAAAGGAGGCCGCTGGAGTGGTTGAGCAGATGGATTTTTTTGTAGTTACGAACCCCTCAGCTGGGCCATTCGGGAAGAAAGGCAGGAGAGGCATTCTGCGCCTAAAGCCACCCTGACCTCCGCAGTACCCAGAATGGGGAGGCTGGGACAGGAATGTAGCCACAGGCTGCAAGTCCAAGCCAGAGTGGCAGTGGGGGAGCTTCCTGGAGGAGGCGGGATTTGAGGATGCCTTGGAGAGAGGGAAATATGCTAGGCCCAAACTGGGAAGAGGCTCGGGCCCTGGCGGGGCTGTGAAGGGGTGCGTTAGGCCCAGGAGGCAGGAAAAGGGAGAGCAAGGGAAGATGCCTAGTCTGGGAAGCCAGGTCTCGCGGTTTCCTCTGCTTCAGGCACTCCCCCACTCTCTACTCTCAAGCCTCACGGGGGAAAAAAAGTCAGATAAACCAGCACCCACTGAGGATCCCACTTGGCTGAGGAAGAGCCGCCTGTTCCCCAGAACCCCAGTGTCTCGGATATGAGCGTGTGATGGCAATCAGCTGGGTCAGCCACCTCTACTGAGAACAGTCCACTGAAAATGTCCGGAAGTGGGGTGTCGAGGGCATGACAGGATTCAGCGTAAGCCCTGGCAGACAGTGTAAGCGAGGATCTATCCTAACGTTCCAGTTACGGGTGCTTCCTCTTCCCACCATTCGGGACCACCTTGCCCCCGAACTGGGGGACCTGCACCCTAGGAGAACCCCGGAAGGAGAGCCAGGGTTGACCTAGAGGACTTTCCTTCTCCTGGTGGCATTTTAGGCACTGTAACAGGTACCTTTGGACGAGGGGCCTTCCTCGTACCCTTGTTATCACACCACAGCTCTTGGGTAAGTGCCCAGCCAAGGCCAGTCCTGTTTGCTGAGCTATCTCTGCTCTCCTGAGAGGGAGCGGGGCGGGGACCACCATCAGAGGGGCTCACTGGTGCGGTCTGTCCCGTGTGGCCAGGCATGTGCGGTTCAGTGGCCAGCTGAGGCCTAAGCAGAGGGGACAGCAGAGCCTTTCCTAAGACAAGTGGGAAGAAGGTATCAGCCATGGCTGACCGAGCGGTGACCCGCAGCCCAACACAGAGCCAATGAGCAGCCACCACAGTGGTGGTAGGCTTGCTGCAGCTTCCACAGGAAGCCCCACGTGCAACCAGCGTGTCAGGCCGAGTTAGCACCAGGAGGGCTGAGTGGAGTCCAGCCGAAGGCTTCCTGGGTGGGGGAACGTGGGTGATAATGTTTCCCCTTGGGCTCTGGGCCAAGTGAGACACGTGAGCATGCATGCCTTTGCTCACAAGCTGGTGTGAGTGTGTATGTGTGGGGAGGCATGTGTTCATGCACACAATCATTGTTTAGGACTCATGTGTCATATGCATGTGCATGCCTGCTCATGTTCATTCAGCATGTTTAGTGCATACTTTGTATCTACTTCATGCCTACTCTCTGTGTGCTAGGGATTCTGGGACCAAACAGACCAAGAGTCCCTCGTGGGGCTTACATTCTAGTGGGAGAGAGAAAAAAGAAACAAATAAACACATAGAGGACACATAGTGGAAAGTGCTATGAGGAAAGGTAAAACAGGAAATGGGATGGGGTTGCTATTTCAGAATATGATCAGGGAGCGCCCCTCTGAGGAGGTGACCTTGACCTAAACAACGAGAAGGCAGCCTGTTGAACATCAGGAGCAGGAGGGCTATAGACTGAGGGTAAGGAGTGGAGCCAGAGGGAGAGAAGCTGGAATTCTACCATGCTGCTCATGTGTGGGGGGTGGTAGAAAGGAGGAAAAGGGAGGGACAGAGCTGGGGGGACGTTGATGATATGGACAGCAGGACAGCCCTCAGTAAGAACCCACGAGCCCAGCTCAGCTCTGAGGGACAGTGCTGACCCCTCCCCAGATCCAACCCCACAGTGCAGCACACGGAGGCCTCCCCTGCTAGTGCAGGGCCTAGGGCCATCCCCAGGTGGGCACCCTCAGGACCAGCTGTGTCCACATGGCAGCCAGCAACAAGAGAGGCCACTGGGAGAGAGAACGGAACTCTGGCAGTCACGCTTGACCACGGACACAGTGTCTGAAACTGGCCCTGATGCCGTGTGCTAGTGGCCAGGGGCAAGGCTGCCTCTGGATGCCCTGACGTGTGTGACCTGCTGGCAGATGCTGCGATGGGACTGCTGAGGGGCCAGCAGGGCCACTGGAGACCCAGGACTAGACTCCCTCTGGAATTTCCTTTGGGAGGCCTGGTGTGATGCAGCGGCCAGGGCAGGGCCTTGGGACAGCTGGGGCCCTCGACTGCTCTCACTGCGCTGCTCATCTTGTCTCAGCTGAAGGGGCAGGCTGCAGAACCCAGTGAAAGTGCTTAAAGCCAGCTTCAGACTTGGCCTTCCACCTCCCAGACCACACAGACCTGGGACAGAGAGCCTTGCAGGCTCAGGAGGGGAAGCTGAGCTGAGGGGCCTTAGAAGGCCTCCAGGAGAAACTGGGTGGATGAGAGGAATGAGTGGAAAAAACTATTGTCACAGGTCAAACCACTGGAGGCTTCCTTCGAGTAGGGAAAGTTGATTTGGGTGTTTTGAGGTGATGTCAGGTGTGACGCCTGTGTCTGTGTGTCAGGGAACCTGCGTCTGTGGGTCTGCCTGCGCATGCGTACATTTGGCGCTTGGTCAGTCGGGTAGCTCTCCACTGTTCACGCGCCCCTGGGTGAGCCGTATGCCTCTGCGCCTGCGTCTGTCCACCTG